TGACCATATACGTACATAATTAACAACAGAGAACAAACCAAGTGTGAACAGTGTTCAGTGGTGCTGAAATCAATGATGCAAAGCAATCTCATGTACAGTTGTGTTCAAAATAATAGCAGTCAGACATCACTAACCTGATCAATCACTGTTTTTGGTAGAAATGATATTTCTACATGGCAAATAATTTACTAGCAGGTGTAGTAGAGTAATAGAAATCCAACAGACCCAACAGTCATGACATGCATGCTGCTGATTCTGTGTAATTAAATCACTAATTGAAAGGGGCATGTTCAAAATAATAGCAGTGTGGAGTGCTGTTAGTGAGGTCATTCATTCTTTGAAAAACAGGTGGCAATTATTGCCCTTATTTAAGGAAGGAAGGCAGCAAATGTTGTACATGCTGGTTACAGTGCATTTCTCTCTGAAATTCTGAGGAAAATGGGTCGTTCCAGACATTCTTCAGAAGAACAGCGTACCTTGATTAAAAAGTTGATTGGAGAGGGGAAACATATAAAGAAGTGCAGAAAATGATAGGCTGCTCAGCTAAAATGATCGCAAATGCTTTAATATGGCAACCAAAACCTGAAAGACGTGGAAGAAAGCGAAAAACTACCATTCGAATGGATAGAAGAATAGCCAAAATGGCAAAGCCAACAATCAGCTCCAGGAAGATCAAAGAAGAGCAAAGTCCCACTGTTGAAAAAAAGACATGTGCTGTAGAGGTTACAATTTGCCAAAGAGCACATTGACTGGCCTAAAGAGAAATGCCGCAACATTTTGTGGACTGATAAAAGTAAAATTGTTCTATTTGGGTCTAGTGTCCAGAGACAGTTTGTCACATGACCCCCAAACACTGAATTCAAGCCACAGTAAACTGTGAAGACAGTGAAGCATGGTTGCGCAAGCATCATGATATGGGGATGTTTCTCATACTACGGTGTTGGGCCTACTTATTGCATACCAGGGATCATGGATCAGTTTAAATACATCAGAATACTTGAAGAGGTCATGCTGCCTTATGCTGAAGAGGAAATGCCCTTGAAATGGGTGTTCCAACAAGACAACGACCCCAAACACACCAGTAAACGTGCAACATCTTGGTTCCAGACCAACAAGATTGATGTTATGGAGTGGCCAGCCCAATCCCCGGATCTTAATCCAATAGAAAACTTGTGGGGTGACATCAAAAATGCAGTTTCTGAGGCAAAACCAAGAAATAGAGAAGAACTGTGAAATGTAGTCCAATCATCCTGGGCTGGAATACCTGTTCACATGTGCCAGACGTTGGTTGACTCCATGCAACACAGATGTACAGCAGTTCTCAGAAACAGTGCCTATACAACTAAATATTAAGTGATTCAAAGGAAAGCAAAATCTTCAAACATTTTCAGTTTATATAGTGAATGTTTGTAAAGAAGAATACAAACACTGCAATTTTTTTTGAACAGTCTAATATTCACTTTTCTTCAATTTTTTTAGAGGAACAACACAAATTTGATATATTTTTCTTCATGTTTTTATTTGGAATAGAATGTGTAGTGTTCCCTAAAGCTATTAGAAGGATTTTGAGCTTTATTCACTTTTTTCAAACACACTGCTATTATTTTGAACACAGCTGTATAAAACATCAAAGGTGCATATAGTGACATTAGTGACAAAGTCAATCTATCCAATGGTAGTAATACATGGTGAAAAATCCGTAACTCCTGTGGCTGTGAAAATGGATGTGGATTGCACTAACCAGATAGCGCAATCTCTTGCGCATTGGAGTATATTAAGACCAACTCCTGGTCATCTGGATCTGGAACACTGCAGCGTGAAGGGTCAACAGGCCAGCAACATCCAGGTAACACACGTCAGAGGGGGATAACCAATCTCCAGATGTTCAGTCATCAGCTACCAGGGGGATCATATACATTATCATATGCCAGGTCAGCAGAAATCACCTTAAGAGAGGGGGGGCTCGCAGAAAAAACAAGCCCAAATATTTTTTTTTAAAAAGTGTATTTACACAAAACGCGTTAGAGAGGTGCCCCTAAGCAGTGACTACACTCCGCACAGCTCATATGGACGGCCATCTTGGTGTTCTCAGATGTAAGTCGATTTACCTGTCTGTCTTTCTTGTCCGATACCTCATAATAAACTACTACACCATTGGAGACTTCCCTCTTGGGCTTGTTTTTTCTGCGAGCCCCCCCCTCTCTTAAGGTGATTTCTGCTGACCTGGCATATGATAATGTATATGATCCCCCTGGTGGCTGATGACTGAACATCTGGAGATTGGTTATCCCCCTCTGACATGTGTTACCTGGAGATTGCGCTATCTGGGTAGTGCAATCCACATCCATTTTCACAGCCACAGGAATCACGGATTTTTCACCATGCATTACTACCATTGGATAGATTGACTTTGTCACTAATGTCACTATATGCACCTTTGACGTTTTATACATGAGATTGCTTTGCATCATTGATTTCAGCACCACTGAGAGCTGTTCACACTTGGTTCGTTCTCTATTGTTAATTATGTACGTATATGGTCATTATTTTTATTTATTTTAACTGATGCTTTTAGCGCTGCATAAGTATTTGATCCCCCTCACAAAACATGACTTAGTACTTGGTGGCAAATCCCTTGTTGGCAATCACAGAGGTCAGACGTTTCCTGTAGTTGGCCACCAGGTTTGCACATATCTCAGGATGGAATTTGGCCCACTCCTCTTGGCAGATCCTCTCCAAGTCATTAAGGTTTGGTGGCTGTTTGGCAACTTGAACTTTCAGCTCTCTCCACAGATTTTCAATCGGATTAAGGTTTGGAGACTGGCTAGGCCACTCCAGGACTTTAATGTGCTTCTTCCTGGGCCACTCCTTTGTTGCCTTTGCTGTGTGTTTTAGGTCATTGTCATGCTGGAACACCCATCCATGACCCATTTCAATGCCATGGCTGAGGGAAGAAGGTTTTCACCCAATATTTAACGGTACATTGCCCTGTTCATCGTCCCTTTGATGCGGTGCAGTTGTCCTGTCCTATTAGCAGAAAAACACCCCCAAAGCAGAATGTTCCCACCACCATGTTTGACAGTTGGGATGGTGTTCTTGGGGTCATAGGCAGCATTCCTCCTCCTCCAAACACGGCGAGTTGAGTTGATGCCAAAGAGCTCGATTTTGGTCTCATCTGACCACAACACTTTCAACCAGTCGTCCTCTGCATCATTCAGATGTTCAGTGGCAAACTTCAGACGGGCCTGAACATGTGCTTTCTTGAGCAGAGGGACTTTGTAAGCACTGCAGGATTTCAATCCTTGTCGGCGTAGTGTGTTACCAATTGTTTTCTTGGTGACTGTGGTCCCAACTGCCTGGAGATCATTGACAAGATCCTCACGTGTAGTTCCGGGATGATTCTTGCATGGTGCACCAGACCTAGGGAGACTGACAGTTGTTTTGTGTTTCTTCCATTTGCGAATGATTGCACCAACTGTTGTAACCTTCTCACCAAGCTGCTTGGCGATAGGTTGGTAGCCCAAGTCCAGCCTTGCATAGGTCTATAATCTTGTCCCTGACATCTTTGGACAGCTCTTTGGTCTTTGCCATGGTGGAGAGTTTGGAATCTGATTGTTTGATTGCTCCTGTGGACAGGTGTCTTCTATACAGGTAACAAAATGAGATTAGCAGCAGTCCCTTTAAGAGACTGCTTCTAATCTCAGCTTGTTACCTGTATGAAAGACACCTGGTAGCCAGAAATCCTGCTGATTGATAGGGGACCAAATACTTATTTCCCTCATGAACATGCAAATCAGTACATAATTTGTTAGACATGCATTTCTTTTGAATTTTTTGCTGCTAATCTGTCTCTCAGTGTTACAATACACATACCATTCGATTTTTAGACTGATCGTTTCTTTGTGAGTGGGCAAACATTCAAAATCAGCAAGGTATCAAATACTTATTTCCTTTACTATATATGATGTAGAACGTGATGAGCTTTAACTGGTTGTAAACCTCAGACATGAAATATGAACAAAGCATATCCCTCTGACAAGTTTTCCTGACACCAAGAAAAAAGTGATGACGGGGAGGGAGCTCCAGCTGACTGACAGCTCTGCTTCTGTGAGCTGTGTGGAGAGGAGTGTGACTCTTCCCTCTAATCAGCTCTCAGAGCTCTCCTCACTGAGCTCTTCAGAATGTAACAAAGTCTCCACCCCCTTTTTTCTGAATTATTCGACAACCTTCAGCTTTTTGAGTGGATATAGAGAAGAGAAGACTGCAGATATGCAGATACAACTTATGTAGAAGGATTTGTTTTATCTCTGTGCATCACCTGAGGCCAGTCGCTTCACGGGGTATATACAAGGGTTTACAACCACTTTAAAGCACATAACCTTATGCACTGAAATGTTGTTTCTAATTATTTGTATTTGCATAAAGATTTTGGCAGACATTATGGTCACTACGTATGCAATGTTTGTTTCCTGCGTAGTAATGTTGCACAGCGGTAGTTGATGGTGTTTCTTTTTCAATGGATGTTTTAACACCTTACTCAGATTAACTAAAAACAAAACTCTCCTTGTGGCCGATTTGATTTCAGTGGTGATATAGCTAACTAGATTCCCTCATGCAGACAGCCACTGAAGTGAGAATATATAAAGCTGCATATAAAGTACAATCATGATAATCTATAAATGTATAACATGTGAGACATGTATCACAAATCACTTTCAGGTAAGAATTATAAATATAAAAAGCATATTGATAGTTTATTTTGCAGAAGAAGGGTTAACACAAAGTGCTTATTAAACCTCGCGAACAATCCGACTGTCAGGCGCCCATATGCTGTAAGATTTCATACAACAGCCAAGTTTTTTTTTCCATCAGGATCAGATGGGGAAGTGATAGACAAGGGTTCAAAAAATATAAAAATACATTGCAAAAGTTCCCAAAGCAAAGCATATCAAGCACAGCATACGATGCTGGAATACTACACATCACAAAGCACTACTTACTCATCGGCAATCTCAATGTTGATTTTCTGTTTTGTCTGCATCAGTGCAGTACGGTAGAGCTTTGTAGCCATCTCGATGAGATGATCACTGCTGAAGAGGAAGTCACCCTTGGATGCTGCTGCACAGCCCTAGGTTTGGAAACATATTACACGGTTATTAAAGTTAACAGTCGGCAGCTACAGATTACCCAATTATGATGTTATAATACTTAAAAATCTGAGGAATATAGATTGCAGAAAGCTACTCAAAAGCTTAGCTGTACCAGCACTTTAATGACCTTAGTATTCCACAACTGTCTTTACATTTATCTAAGGCACAATTTATTTGGCTTGATATAAACCACTTCTGTATCTGCCGGCAGCTAACTATTCCTCAATGGTTGAGTATCAAATGTACACTGCTCAAAAAAATTAAAACAAACGCTTTTTAATCAGAGTATAGCATCAAGTCAATTAAACTCCTGGGATATTTATCTGGTCAGTTAAGTAGCAGAGGTGGTTGTTAAACTGTTTCAGTTGCTTTGGTGTTAATGAAATTAACAACAGGTGCACTAGATGGGCAACAATGAGACAACCCCCCAAAAAAGGAACGGTTTTACAGGTGGAGGTCACTGACATTTTTTCCCTACTCATCTTTTCTGACTGCTTTTCACGAGTTTTGCATTTGGCTAGGGTCAGTGTCACTACTGGTAGCATGAGGCGATACCTGGACCCTACAGAGGTTGCACAGAAAGTCTAACTCCTCCAGGATGGCACATCAATACATGCCATTGCCAGAAGGTTTGCTGTGTCTCCCAGCACAGTCTCAAGAGCATGGAGGAGATTTCAGGAGACAGGAAGTTACTCTAGGAGAGCTGGACAGGGCTGTAGGAGGTCCTTAACCCATCAGCAGGACCAGTTTCTGCTCCTTTGTGCAAGGAGGAAGATGAGCACTGCCAGAGCCCTACAAAATGACCTCCAGCAGGTCACTGGTGTCAATGTCTCTGACCAAACAATCAGAAACAGACTTCATGAGGGTGGCCTGAGGGGCCCCACATCCTCTAGTGGGCCCTGTGCTCACTGCCTGGCACCATGGAGCTCGATTGGCATGTGTCATTGAACACCAGAATTAGCAGGTCTGCCACTGGCACCCTGTGCTTTTCACAGATGAGAGCAGGTTCACCCTGAGCATGTGACAGATGTGAAAGGGTCTGGAGAAGCCGCGGAGAATGTTATGCTGCCTGTAACATCGTTCAGCATAACCGTTTTTTGGTGGTGGGCCAGTGATGGTCTGGGGAGGCATAAGCATGGAGGGACGCACAGACCTCTACAGGCTAGAAAATGGCACCCATCATCAGACCCTACTCTGGTGCAGTGGGTCCTGGGTTCCTCCTGGTGCACGACAATGCCTGGCCGCATGTGGCGAGAGTACGCAGGCAGATTCTGGATGATGAAGGAATTGATACTATTGAATGGCCCCTATGCTCACATAACCTAAATACAATAGAACACCTCATGTTTCAGTCCATCCGACGCTGCCAGTTTGCATAGTCAACTCATTAGGAGCATGCCCCGCCATTGTCAGGCAACGTCAGTACCATTTTGAGTTGCTGCAATCAAATTTCTGCAAAATGGAGTAGCCTGCTGCATAATTTTTTCACTTTGATTTTTGGGGTATCTTTGAATTCAGTCCTCTGTAGGTTGATAATTTTCATTTCCATCAAACGATAGGGCATCCTTACGTTCCTAACACATTACCCAGTCCATATCAGAGTAGACATCCAGCATATTTTTCCCCATTGAGATCTGATGTGTTTTCAAAGTGTTCCTTTAATTTTCTGAACAGTGTATTTGTAGAAATAAACAGATACTTGCTAGGAGAATTTTATTTTTTTTCTGCATTTGAAAAAGGCATCACTTATACTTCTGGAAGGCACCAATTCTGTCCCTCAGCTAATATAGCCTTGATAATAATTCCATAAAGGAGATAAATATGGAAGTCAAGAAACAATCTCACCCATGTTTCATCAACCCCCTCAACCTAATACCTGTCCCCCTGCTCCCCAAAACCACCCCTCCGTTTTCGTGTGCACTCCTGAACGCCCGATCGGTTTGCAACAAACTCACCGCCATCCACGACCTCTTTGTCTCCCGCTCCCTCGACCTCCTAGCGATCACCGAAACCTGGATCCAAGCCACTGACTCTACCTCTCCTGCGGCACTCTCCTATGGAGGTCTCACCTGGACCCACTCACCCAGACCCAGCGGTTGCAAAGGTGGTGGGGCTGGTATGCTCCTGTCACCGCTGAGCACCTTCCAAGTCCTCCCAAACTCCCCCTCTCTATCCTTCTCCTTTGAGGCCTACTGCATCCGACTATTCTCTCCAATCCCTCTGAGGACTGCAGTAATCTATCGGCCTCCTTGATGACTTCTCCACCTGGTTACCCTTTTTTCTCTCCCCTGAGCTACCCACCATCATCCTTGGAGACTTCAACATCCCTATCAACATCAATAACCCGGCTACATCCCAACTCCTCCACTTAACCTCTTCTTTTGCACTCGCACAGTGTATACAGTCCACCACCCACTCCGATGGGAACACCCTGGACCTTGCTTTCTCTCATCTCTGCACCCCCCACAACCTCATTAACACCCCCTTTCCTCTCTCTGACCACAACCTCATCAACTTCTCCGTCTGCTCGTCCTCATACACCTACCCCTCCAAACGTCAAACTATCACCAGCCGAAACCTCCATAACTTAAACCCTGCCCCCTTCCACTCTGCAGCTGACCAACTTTATGACAGTATCCTTCCCCTGTCCTGCCCTGACCTGGCCACTACTGTTTATAACAACTTGCTGTCAGCCGCTCTTGACTCATTAGCACCCCTAACCACACGAAGCATTAGACCCCGACCGCTTCAACCCTGGCAGAATGACCTTACCAAAAATCTCAAACGGCACAGTCATGCTCTGGAGCGACTATGGCGCAAAACCAGATCCCAACAAGCGTTCGCCCGATATAAATCGGCCTTCCTCACCTACACGTCCTCCCTCCAGCAAGCCTACTTTGTAACCCTCATCAATACCCTCTCCTCCAGTCCTCGCTGGCTCTTCTATACTTTTAACTCTCTACTCTCTCCGCCCCCACCTCCACCCAGTATCTCACTCACTGCCCACAAGATTGCTAACCACTTTCAAAGCAAGATCGACGCGATACGCAGGGACATCGCCACTGCTCAGACTTCCACCCCACCTAGCATCCCTCACACGAAAAGCCCCTCAACACTCCTCTCCTTTGACCTGGCCACTGTCCAGACCTCCACCCCACCTAACATTCCTCACACTAAAACCCCCTCAACACTCCACTCCTTCGACCTTGCTACCACTGAAGAGGTCACTAAGGTCTTCTCTGAAGCTTGCCTTACCACCTGCCTCCTTGAACCTGTCCCCACACACAACTCCTACGATCACCCTCCTCCTCCATCCTACACTCCCTCACTCACATCTTTAATCTCTCCCTCTCTACTGGCGCATTCCCCTCCCCTATGAAGCATGCGCACATCACTCCCATACTTAAAAAACCCTCCCTGGATCCCACCGACCTAAACAACCTTAGACCCATCTCCCTGCTGCCATTTACATTCAAACTCCTTGAGCGCTTAGTCTATAATCGTCTGAGTTCCCACCTCATTGACATCAACCTCCTTGATCCCCTACAGTCTGGCTTCCGTCCCCTACACTCCACCGAAACCGCCCTACTCAAACTCACCAACGACCTGCTAACCGCCAAAGCTAATGGCCACTACTCAGTGCTCCTACTCCTCGACCTCTCCGTGGCTTTCGACACGGTCAACCACCCCCTCCTCCTCAAAAAAACTATACTCTCTTGGCCTCAAAGACTCCGCTCTCTCCTGGCTCTCTTCCTATCTATCACAGCGCTCCTTCAGTGTGACCTGTAATGCTGCCACCTCCCCCTCACTCCCCCTCTCTGGTGGGGTCCCTCAAGGTTCTGTCCTCGGGCCCCTTCTCTTCTCCATCTACACCTCCTCCCTTGGCCAACTGATACACTCCCACGGCTTCAACTACCATCTCTATGCCGACGACATGCAAATCTCTCTACCCCTCGCCTCTCCCCTTCAGTCTCCGCCCGAATCACTAGCCTACTGAACGACATATCAGATTGGATGTCACTCCACTTCCTCAAATTAAACCTTTCCAAAACCAAGCTCCTAGTTTTCCCCCCTGCCCGCCCCCCCCCCCCCGACTTCTCTATCACGACCAACAACGCCACCATCAGGCCCACCCCGCAAGCCAGAGTACTAGGTGTCATTCTAGACTCCAATCTGTCTTTCCAGCCCCAGGTCCAATCGCTGACAAATTCATGTAGACTCCACCTTCCCAAAATCTCCAAAATACGTCCGTACCTAACCCCAGAAACTACTAAGCAGCTCATTCACTTCGTTATTATATCTCGACTTGACTACTGTAACTCCCTCCTCACCAGCTTACCTCATCACAGGCTATCCCCGCTTCAGTCTATCCTGAATTCTGCGGCCAGACTCATCCACCTTACTAACCGCTCAGTATCCGCCACCCCCCTCTGCCATTCCCTCCACTGGCTTCCGATTGCCCAACGCATAAAATTCAAATTACTAACATTGACGTACAAAGCTGTTCATAACACTGCCCCTAACTACATCACCGACCTGATATCCATATACCACCCAAAACGTACTCTCCGCTCCTCACAAGACCTCCTACTCTCTAGTTCCCTGGTCTCCTCCTTCCATGCCCGTCTCCAGGACTTCTCCAGAGCTTCCCCCATCCTCTGGAACTCACTACCCCAATCCATCAGACTGTCACCTACCCTCCTCACCTTTAGGCGCAACCTGAAAACCCATCTCTTCAGGGAAGCCTACCCCACCCTCACCTAACTGCCGATCTCCACTCTTCCTATCACTCCATCCCCCACAGTTATTTCCTCCTGTACCACTATCCCCTCCCTCCTAGACTGTAAGCTCCAAGGAGCAGGGCCCTCAAACCCTCGTGTATTGCACTGTATTGTTACTGTACTTTCTCGTGTACGGTCTCCCATTGTAATGTGCAGCGCAGAGCGAACTGTTGGTGCTATATAAATACTGTATAATGATAATAATGGCATACTAAAAAAACCTTGCAAAATTTCAGTCTAGGTGCCCAGGCTTGCTATTCACCTTTTATTATTTCAATACCACCCTTAACAGTGTGAGGAATGATCAGTTTCATCTGTTTACAGGAATATTGATTTCAGTAGATGGTTAGGCTTTTCAACCACATCATCTGCATGTATGGTCACTGGCTCTTTGGCTCATTTGATAAAGAAAAGAGAAACCGAGAGGCTGCCATTCCAAAGTTGTCATTTGTAAAATGCTACCAGTCTGGCTGCCATGCTTACTCTTAGTTCAGTGCTTCGAGTCGCTAACCCACAACAAATATGCAGAAAATGAATTTCAACTTTACTCTGAATTTCTTGATACTGATTGGGCGAAATTAATTCTGTATCACTAGAGGGATTAACTATGAGATGGATAGAGATATGGAAGGCATTCATGGTTTTGCTCTGGAGCAAGCGGTTTGCTTATAAATGAAGAAAAGGGGAAGGATATTGGAAAGTCATTACATATGCTATTATTATTATTACCACAATTAAATGCCAAGCCATTATGCTGTACATATAGTTCTTATTTTAATGATAAGCACATTTGATCTGAATTGTGTTTGCAGTATTTCTTGCACGTATAACAAAAAACTTTCCATGGGTACCCCTACAATGAGGTGATGGGATGGGAATCTCTTGGAATAACAAAAAAGGCTCATCAGATGACCTTTATCTATGTTGTTTATATTAGTAATGATTAGACAAAAAAGTACAAATTTTAAGGTCATGGCTCTCCGGTTTCTAACATTATAAAATAGGTAGTAGCACAGTGGCTTAATTTGTTAGCACTCTTGTTTTAGCGGTCATCAGTTCAAATCCGAACCAGAGCACTACCTGTGTCGAGTTTCCGTTTTCTCTCTGCTTGCATGTGTATAGGGATAACTATGATCCTCTTACGGAGTCACATAGGTGTGTATATATACACAGACAGTATACATACACACACACACATACATTTACACACGGTGTGTATATATATATATATATATATATATATATATATATATATATATATATATAAACTGTGCCATCAGGCATGTGTGGCATTTTAGGTGGGGTGTCTGCCTTGGTCCTTCCAATGTGGCGGTTGCTATTTGAGAAGAAGGGCTATAAAAGCAGGGAAGGACCTCTGTGAAATGTAGAATGCAGGGAGGGTGGATACTGTATTCCCCATATACGTGTATGCAACAATGAATATAATTCAGAGCATCATCTCGTCTGAAGGTAATTATTCAAGTTTCCTCCAAAGGACAGAAACTTGAGCAGGAGATAATATCCTCATGTGTATGTGAGATAAAGACCCTAGATTGTGCATGTGAGATAAGGACCTTAGGCAGGCCATAGGAAATGCATTTTTGTTTCCTGCAACCGCGGGTTGTTGGAAAGAAAATTGCTCAATTTCCCCATCAACACTGACTGAACCCTGCTAAGCTACTGTGTTCTCGGGGCACGAGGGGAGCCATCCCTGCCGGGAGAACACAGTGATTATTGCCAGTGGCTATAGCTGCTGGCAATAATCCCATGAAAGCTCAGACAGGCAGGTTGTAACAAAGTCATACAATATAATTGGGTACAATCAGCCTGCCCATAGGTGGTTTAAGGATCGGCCGGTCTCTGCTGAACCAGCCAAAATTTGAACCATTTATGGCAGGCTTAAGACTGAGTTTCTCAGAGGCAAGGGACTGATGGGAATAAACAATATGTACATCTATGTAAAATTGTTGATGTTATATGAATATCTGTAATTAATAAATATCCACTAATAAAATAGAAGATAAAAGAGAATGAGGCAACCACTTTTAATTACAGTGAACTGTCACAAACATGTCAAGTGTATTTTGTACATAGCTGTTAAAACATACCTCCTTAAGATGGACTGCAAAGAACCCGTCATTTTGGGAGCTCATGCTCAATTTTGTAATATCACCCAGGGAAACTTCCAGCTTGATCTGTCCAGACTTGTGGTCAGCAATAATGACATTATTTTTGGTCAACAAGAAAATTCTGGTCGCTCCCTGAGAATGAGAAAGGACAGTAAGGGAAACCTGCGTAGATCTGATTTAAAAAATGGACAATTTTCTTAAAAACTGTAAAATAAAAAATGGACAATTAACTTGAAAACTGTAAAAATATTGCAGACAGAGAAAACTATTTCACACAGAAAATGATGCCGTGAAAACTGAAGGAGGTTTTTTATTGAACTGAGCGACTTGCAAAGACACTTGGTTTCATCTGGTGTGAAATGGTTCGTTTTTGTTCTGTGTTCTCCACATAACTTTGCTGGAGCCTGCAGAAAAACCCTGGCTCCCAGACTGCCAAGAGCAGCCATGCTTTAAAAATGCTACAATTTTATTTTCATACAAAATGACTATGTTATATGTGTAGATAGGAATGTAAATCCATGTTAAAAACATCTGAATATTTATATTTTAACCATACATTTTTTTGTAGTTGTCTCTTGGGGATTAAAACAACATTATCATAAGTTCTAACTCTTCCTCACTCTAAAATTTGCTTTTGTGTTTGTGACCCCATTGAACAGATTTCCCATCACTTCCTGTCTTTACAGTATGTGAGAAGTGCGTGAGAACCATTAACGTGAAAGAAAACACTGGATCAGTTCAAACTGGATATTCATATTCATTAGGATAGCTTACACACTTGAGTGAACTGCATTCTTACTGTAACAGGAAACAAGAGGTGAAAGGTGTTAAAGCCCACTACTTTTTATAATGTATCTTTACAGATTCCAGCATGTTATGTTTGTTGTCTGATTTGTGCTTGGAATTTGGTCTTAAAATATCCTTTTCTTTTAGTAAATATTCTGCTTCTTGGGATCTTCCTCCAATTCTCTGTTTTGGTATTGCAGAGTAATAGCCACAAGTATCAGATCAGGTATCTTACCTGAGTGTTTGACTACTGAGTACATCAGGTCTAACTCTAGACCAGGTGCCTCCAAACTTTTTAAACTAAGGGCCAGTTTACTGTCCTTTAGACTTGGGGGGGGGGGGGGCAGATTGTGGCCAGTGGGGGGGTAAAAAATGTCCTGGGTCCAGCATCAGTGAGAATAAACATTGCCTCAGGGTTGGTAATCTGTTATACAGCACCTGTGGTCAGTAAGAGAAATAGTAGCCCATCATTAGTATTAGTGGGAGTAATAGTGCCCCATCATTAGTATTAGGGGGGAGAATAGTACCCCAACAGTAATATCAGTGGGAGGAATAGTGCCCCATCATTGGTATTAGTAGAAGGAAAAGTGGCCCATCATTGGTGTCAGTGGAAGGAATAGTGCCATATCATTGGTGTTTGTGGGAGGAATAGTGGCCCCATCATTGGTGTCAGTGGGAGGAATAGTGCCACATTGTTGATGACAGTGGAAAGAATAGTGCACCATCATTGATGTCAATGGAAGGAATAGTGCCCCATCATTGGTATCAGTGGAAGAAATAGTACCTTGACATTGGTATCAATGGGAGGAATAGTGTCCCATCATTGGTATTAGTGGAAGAAATAGTGGCCCAATCATTAGTGTCTGTGGGAGGAACAGTGCCCCATCATTGGTATTCGTGGAATGAATAGTGCCCCAATATTAGTATCAGTGGAAGAAATAGTGCCCTATCATTGGTATCAGTGGGAGGAATAGTGCCCCATCATTGATATTAGTGGGAGGAACAGTGCCCTATTAGTGTCAGCAGCAAGAATTACTGCATGTCCCACTGTTTTTGCACATATCTCAGGAGGGATTTTGGTCTACTCTTCTTTACAGATCTTTCTCTAAATCCTTAGGGTTTCTTGGCTGTCACTTGGCAATTCGAAATTTCAGCTTCCTCCATAAATTTTCTATAGGATTAAGGTCTGGAGACTGACTAGGCCACTCCAGGATCTTAATGTGCTTCTTCTTGAGCCACTCCTTTGTTGCCTTGGTGGTATGTTTTGGGTCATTGTCATGCTGGCACACCCTTCCAAGACCCATCTTCAGTGTTCTGGCTTAGGGAAGGTGGTTCTCATCCAAGATTTTACAATACATGGCCCTGACCATTGGCCCCTCAATGTGACAAAGTCAGCCTGTACCTTTAGCAGAAAAACAGCCCCAAAGCATGTTTCCACCTCCGTGTTTGACCTGAAGGGATGGTGTTCTTAGGGTCATAGTCAGCATTTTTCTTCCTCACAGCGAGTCAAGTTAATGCCAAAGAGCTCAATTTTGGTCTTATCTGACCACAGCACTTTCTCCCAATCCTGCTCTGAATCATTTCAATGTTCAATGGCAAACTTCAGACAGGCCTGTACATGAGCCTTCTTGAGGAGAGAGACTTTCAAGGAGGGATATATATCCATGGTGGCGTATTGTGTTACCAATGGTTTGTTTGGTGACTGTTATCCCAACTGCCTTGGGATCATTTGCAAGCTCCTCCCATGTAGATCTTTGGCCTTGCCCATGGTGGTGAGGTTTGAATGGAAGAAAGATTCTGTGGGCAGGTGCCTTTTATACACATAAGTTATTGTTAGGAGCACCTTCCTAAATTGACAGAACTAATCTGTGTACCACATGAGCATAGAGCCAGTCTGTGGGAGCCAGAATTATTGTTGGTTGGTAGGGGATAAAATACTTATATTACTGAACTGAAACTCAATTTATAACCTTTGTATCATGTTTTTTTCTGTATTTGTAGTTGATATTCTGTCTCTATCATTTAAAATACATCTGTGATAACAATTATAGACGCTTCATTTCTTTGTAATTGGGCAAACTTACAAAATCTGCAGGGGATCAAATAATAATTTTCCCCACTGTATACTGATTGACAATGTTGGATGTGGACAGCTGTATGCAGCAAAGTTTCCTGCAAACTCAGTAATTTGCAGGCAGTGAAACGGAGATAAAAGGGACTGCACAGAAGGAGTGGCACAAGGCCACTACCCCTCAGCAATGTAGAACTCTTCTAAACAAGTGGCATGCCTGGGCCCAGTGCATAGGGAGAACAAACCATTATGTCTTGTTGCTCTCCTGCCATTTTGTGATCTGACACTGCCTACAAGGCAAGAAACAAAACCAGCTAAAACACTCAAGTGTCAATTTAAGATCCGTGCAACCTGCTAAAGAGTTATCTTCTTTTGTAAATAAATAACCCCCCTACCAAGTGATACTTACCTTTGCAGAACTTTTGCCACTGCTTCCATGCTCCATTAGAGCCCCAGGAAATATGAGGTGCTTACAGATATGGGGGAATGTGTGATCTCCTCTCAGGAAGCAGTGCTCTGACCTGAACAACCAATAACTAGACCCAAACACGCTCATCTGATAAGGACGGGAAATAAGTTAATCCTGTGTAAGCTCTGACATGGCAATTAAACAGGGTTATGAGCTCTGATGGGAGAGCCATCCGGTTGTGACATTACCACTAGCAATTAGATTCCAGCTGTATATTCTGATTCTAGATAGGTACAATCCAACAAATGTTTGGTTGTTATGGACAGAGCTACTTGTCTGGCCTATAAAAGTTTTAAATATCAGCCCATATGCTATACATTTGGACAAAATCTTACCTTTCCGTTTGCTCTGTTGATTTTACTCACAGTGTCAGCAATGATTATTTTGTCTTCAATGGTATCACTCAGCTTCTTATATTTTGGATTTTTTGGCGATTTCCAAGTAATCACCTTGGAATGACTGTCCAACACTAAAATAACACAAATTGTTTATTTTACCATAAGAATCATTCCAGCTATAACTTGTCACATTCATTATATATAAAGGCATGTGACATTGTCCCCTACCCCCAGCCCCCTCCCCATCATCTATATAGGTAAATATTTATCCCATTCCGAAAAGGTTCACTGTGGGGTCTTGCCAGGCATTGCCCAGACTTTGCTTGAAAATAGTCATAGCCAGGTCCTTAACATATCGAACATTCACACCTCAGTCTTCAATCATTACTAGGCCTAGGTCCATACCCATGGGGTACACAACTATCTGTACAAATATGTACCCATAGTAATGAGCTAGGGCCACAGTGTCCATGTGCGGTAGTTACTAGATCCAGCTGGGGTGATTTTCAAGAAAAGGCTGAAAGGCGCTGAATAAAGGTCTTCAGAGTAGGGCTGAAGGTAAGCATTTACCCATGAGCATTACAATGAGGGGGTTAAGGGGTTTGTAAAGCACAACCTTACTAAAAGCACTAGTTCCACAAAGTAATAATGCAATATTTTCTACAATGTTTGCAATTTTTGGCCATATGATTGTCATTTTCATGCCTCACTGGCTTCCATTGTTAAAAATACCTTGTTATTGCAAATAATTATTATAGCTTAGTGCCTTTAGAGCTTGATATACAAAATATACATTTTTTTTTGGACCATAGCAAGTATTCAGCTTTCACTTATACATTTTTTTACAGTCCAATTTTAAATACAAAATAATATATTAGCAATATATAATAGCAATACAAAATAATATATTTAGCATTATTGATAAAATACTGTGCATACAGAGTCTATTCCCCAGCCATTCAGATGAGGAAGAGATAAAAAAAAAGTTCCCTGTCTCCTACGCATGTCACATCTGTTAATGATGGTGACAGATACACATGTATTGCACAGCCCCCAGTCCCAATCGACCTGAAGTCCACTTAAAAAATAAAATGATTCTCGTCTGCTGCCGAAGATCAGCTAATTTGCATACTAATATAACCTCCCTGCCCTGGAAAAATTGTAAATAGGGTATAGTTTCGCTAGGTATATACAGATAGATTATTTTAGTTCAACCTGTGGGCTGAATGGAAAGGTAACATATTCCCCCATACACACATCACAGTGTAGAATACCCAAACGGTGGCTGCATCTAATTGGATGAAGATACTGTTTGGCCTACAATTTTCTGACCAGCTTGATGTTGGGTTGGTGGTGGCTGACAGGGACACCCACTGAGGAAATTGAATTTCCTTTATAAGGAAGAGGCCCAACTTAGTATAGTGTGTACACAGCTTTAGTGATCAAATCACCTTTATCAACAACTAGAAACTATAGAAAACATTTTGCTTTGGTCAGAGTCATTCTTTAACTACTTCAATATCGAGCAAATTTTGACATTTCTCACATACATGGAAAAATCAGAATTCGTCTGCTAGAAAATCAATTAGAACCCCCAACATCATATTTTTTATGCAGACGTCCTACAGAATAAAAATGGTGGATCTAGCAATTTTTTGTGTCACATCATATTTGCGCAGCGTTTTTTTTCAAACGCTATTTTTTTGCGAAAAAGAACACTTTAATTAATTTTAGTGCAAACAAACACAAAACCTCTTTTTTTTTTTTTTGTAAAATATAAAAAAAATATGTTACGCCAAGTAAATAGATACCCAATACATCACACTTTAATACTGCGTACACCTGTGGAACAGCACCAACCTACAGTACCTAAAAATCTCCATAGGCGATTCTTTAAGAACCTTTACAGGTTAGTAATAAGAGTTACACAGGAGGTCGCACACTAGCATTAATGCTCCCAGACTGACATTTGTGATGATACCTCACGTGTGGTACAATCCCTGTTTACATATGCGTGCGGGATTTTCGTAAGCGTTCGCATTTGCTCTTTAGCACGGGGAGACAGGGGCACTTTAATATATTTTTAAAATTATTCTTTTATTTATTTAAAAATTTTACACTGTCCCTTTTTTTATCAACTTTATTGCTATCACAAGGGATGAACAACATCCTCTGTGATAGCATGGGCTGTGACAGGTCCTCTTTATGGAGAAATCTGGGGTCTATTAGACCCTATATCTCTCCTCTGACCTACAAAGCATCTGATCAAATTGAGATTGGTTTAATCAGATATTTGTAAAATCTGGTAACAACTGGTAAGCAAAAGACTGATGCCGGAAGTGACAAAATCCTAGTCACTCCTGGTTTCTGATCTCACAAAGAGGGAAGAACAATGTCAGTTCCTCTCTTTCTGTGTAATGCAGCCAATGTTGCCAGTCAGAGCAGTCCTGGGCTCCCCGATCATACGGGACAGTCCAGGAAAGATGGCAGCTGGGGAGGGGGGGAGGCACCCCTCTTCCGCCACCTGTAGAAGTGATTGAATGGATGTATGGCTACTCAAATCACTTCTCAAAGGGAAGTGGTAAAACATTCTTTATATCTTTATTTTAGAAAACTATTGTGTAGAGAATAGGAAAAATATCATTCAGGAAGTTGTATTTATGCTTCCACAGTAGTTTGTTCCTCATTTAAGGTCTAGAAAGTATGAACGGTGTGCTGTCCCATTTGGATCTTACGTGCTACTCTTGTCTTACAAAGACACCTTATTAGAGAAAACGCTAAATGCCTGCCAGTCAGAGTGATGATTGAGGCCTTTTAACGTAGCAGCGCATTAGCAGTTTGCTTTTAATGCTGTTAAAATAAAGGAAGATTTGGAGGATTATGTTGTGTTGGATACTTAGTTTGATTACACAGTGTCAGTCAGAATTCAGGGGAATATCTAAATCTTCCTTTCTCAACCAGAGTTCTGTAGAACCTGTTGTTAGGGGTTTCATGAACAATGAGCACCAGCCTCCATCTCAAAAGTTTGACTAATGGTAAGTAATGTAGGGAGCATTCTTCACAGTCACCATCACACAATATGCCATGAGCTGTAGCTATACTACTTATTTTCAGGTGTTCCCTGGTTCCAGAGTTTTTTTCAAGGATTTCTGTATGTTGAAAAGATTTAGAAAGACTGATTTAAGCTGTTATAAATTGTTGCTGCTTCACATGAAGCCTGTAAGTACACTATTGAGCCCATTTATAAAGGCTGTCAAAATATTATACCTTATTTGAAATATCAGGCTGTTATGTTGAAGTGAATTAAAGCATGCTGGAAAGTAATCCTTTCATTTCTTTCCCATTTTCCACCCCAACAGTTTTACTTTGTGGTCATAACTCTCAGTAAATAACACATACTATTTAGCTATCAAATATTTAATCTAACCACTAGACTAATTTGTTATTTTCAAACACCAGTAAAAAGAAAAGTAGTGGTGAAAAGGTCAGATTTAAAGTGGAACTTTAGGTCAAGGCGAACAGGCAGGATTTTTAATGCAGAAGAGACATGTGTTGTCTTTTCTACAATAAAGCTACTTACCTGCCTGTCTGCCCCTGTACAGTGAGTTGCACATGCGCAGCTCACTGTACAAATTTGTCAAAGCCGAATCTGACTCAACTCCTGCGCAGGCACGGGTATAATATCATCTCCGTCTGGCCAATAGCAGCAGTCCATGATCGAGACCCAAAAAAGCTGGACGTCCCTTGGATGTCAGCAGCTTGGTAGGGAGCTTCAGGATGCCATATTGTTGGAGCTGAGGTGAGTATTGTTCCGCTTTAAATTATTTTTAATAACTAGTTCGGCATTAGAGCAATTTTCACTTTTTGCACACATGTAGAAAACTTCACTTTGGCCATAAATTACTTAAACACTATTGAACATTATATATTTTCTGAAAGCAGAGATCCTGTAGAATAAAAAGATGATAGTTGCAATTTACCACATCATATATTTGCGCAACGGTTTATCAAATTTTCTGGAAAAAATATGATACAATTAATTTATTGCACACACAATATAATTCTTGGTAAAATATAAAAGATAAGGATGAATCAAGTAAACAGATACCAAACATGTCAAGTCTTAAAACTGCGTGCACTCAATATATCGCAAAAAACTAAGGTACTCAAAAATCTCCATAGGAGACACTTTAAAAGCCTTTACAGACCTGAGTTCTGGTGCTAGAATTAGTGCTCTCACCCTGTTAGTGGCAAAACCTAACATGTGGTGCGACCGTGGTTTACGTGCATATCCACATCCTGGGCATGCGTTTGCATGTGTAGGTGTGTGTGGGGCACCGGTGGTTACGGTTAATGTTTTTTTTTTCAATATGGTTTAATATAGTTTAATAAGAGTTGGGCAGGTGACAATCCCCTAATGTCTCCATAAATAGTACCTAAGAAACCCCAATGTCTCCCCTGCCCTTCACAGCATCTAACTGAGCACAGATCTGCTTGCTTAGATATGTCCCCTGGCTGTAAAAATCTGAAAACTGAAAGTGACTACATCATCTTGCTTCCAGTTTCATTCAGTAGAGAGGAAATTGAGGAATGGATATGACAAGATGGCGCATCACGTTCACTTTGAAGCTGAGAGCCATTAAATTAAAATTGGTACAGGCAGCCATTAGCTTGTGCTTAACAGTTCAGTCTTTGGACATAGATAGTATGTCCAAGAGCTGAACTAGTTTAACAAATTCATTATGAACTGTCAAATAAGGTGCTTTGCTTAAATGCTTTGCGCTAAAAGTTATCTTTCTTTCTCATCAGAAAGCTGGAAACTATGAGGGTGGCATAAATTATTGGCCAAGTATTAGCTAAAAAAAGTGGCAAAATGCCTTCATAAATTGGCAATGTTATCTGAAATTGATTTCACTGGGTTATTTCACGTTAGTTTAAATATGACAATAGGTAAATAAATTGTCCAGATCAACTTAACCACTTCAGCTGTACACCCCCTATGGACCAGAGCAATTTTTACATTTTTGCTATTGTCCCATTTATTCAGCAATATCTTTGTCATTACTTATGATAACAAGGTAATACATATGTTATATTTATTTTCATTTTCTTTTCACTATATATCATCTTTGAAAATTGATTTATAAAGACAAAAATAGTGACAACTAAAAAAAAATTAAAAAAATTTAAAAAAAAAGCAGACCAGAGTTCTTTTAATAATAGTGTGGATAATAATTATACATTTATTCTGTAATTTGTCCGGTTCAAAATTACTAAAAGTATGATTCTAGTACACTGATTTTCACCATACAAATTATCAAACGAAACAAATATCAAAAAGTTTGAACATTAATGGTTTATTAAATAGAAACAAAAAAAGGGAAATGGAAGTATGAGTTAATTAGGGCTGTTTATTAGTTAGGGGTTAAAGAAATTTTATTTATTTAAAAAAAAAAAAAAAAAAAAAAAAAAGGAGAAAACTTTTCTTTTTTCACTGATCAGGCTGTTTTTACAGACAACTGCAAATAGAAGCATATCCCTTTGATCTACAGATAAATGAGTTTTTTTCCTTACAGCTGTTAGAACTGTTGTATTTACAGAGCAGCTCCTGGCTTTCATTAAAGCAGTAGTAAACTCAGCCATTCAGTTCCTGAAATTCAATACAGCTAGTACACAAATGCTTTTTGCCTCACTGATTATCTCCCCCTGTTTTTTCTTACTTTTTTTGCAGGCAGTTGTTTTTTCAAAGCTCCCCAAAGCCAGCGCCATGTTTACTGTTCTTTTCCAGCATTTTTCCTGTATGAAACTTCCGCCCTTTCTTGTAGTAAGGGCCAGAATCTCGTGCATGAGCTTTGGGCTGCTTGAGGCAGCTGTGTATGGTGTCATACTCTTGCGGTATTGCAATGCAATGCTGCAGAGAGTGGATGACATAGGCATGGCATCCTCTGAAACAGACCAACCGCACACAGAATGCCGTGAATTGCTTCAAATGTGCGCATGTGCCGGTGACGTCATGAATTGCACCTGGCTTGATTTCTACAAAAAACGGCAAAAGGTTAGAAAGAATGCAAACACAGCACCATGTATGTCAGAATGTTGAGTTTATTACCACTTTAATCAGAATTAAGAATTGCCGGAGAGTGTGGGAAGAAGGTACAGCAACAGCGGAGAAGGACTAGGAGTAATACATACGTCCTCTGTCCTTTTGATGAAGTTTTTTTTGGCATGTGTAGCATGCCCAGCTTCCTCAACTAGTTATTATCCAACGCTATCAAGAATGATATTTCTGATGCAAACAAAATTGCTTTGATTTCACCTTAATGCATACGGGCCTCCCTCTAAAAGATTATGGCACCATATAAAACACAATCAAATAAGTAACATTTGTGTTAACTCAATTTAAAAAATGCAGTGGTATAAAGTGGTGCATAACACCCAATCAGAAATCAGCCGAGTTTGACTGCAAGTGATGTAACCTACTATCGTGCTGCTTATACTAGGTTCTTGAACATCATTTCTGTCAGTTTCTTAGAAAAAAAAAAACCCTGCAAGAGAAGAGCTATTATACTCAGGAGTGTATGTGTGGGAGCCCTTCTCTCCTACCTCCACTGTATTCCAGCACTGCAGCCTTTATCAAACATTTTTGCATTCCATACTTCAGGATGCGTCCTGTGTCAAATGCCGTGTTCCCTGCTGTGTGCTGTGCTTTTATCCTCCAAACCCTACATCACTGCTATGTCTTGTATTGATGGGGGTACTGGTGGTAGGAAGCCACAGAGCATAGCATGGGACACAGGCATCGAATATTGAAGACACAGACAAAGAGAAGATAGGAGTCACAGCTGACGAAGATCTTCTAGTGCGGTCTACTGTGGGTACAACAGAGTCTCTTTAACCCTTTCACTGCCAGGTCCATATAGCATACAGACCTACATCACTGCTTCCAGCTGGCCAGGTCCAGATCCATAAACTTATAGCAGAAATGTTCAGCAGACTCTACTGAACAAAAGAATAGCTCTGATTAGCAGCTTCTCTGCCCTTTGTCTCCTGTCCCTCCATCCTCCTATGCTAACAGCTACAACGCCCCACCCCACCTCTAACTGTCTCTTATGCTGCCATACCCTGCCTGCTCTGATTACCCCCCCCCCCCCCCCCCCCCACAGCACCAATTCCACCCCCCCTCTCCCCACACAAACCCAGATCCCTCTGTGTCTGCCCTGCAGCTGTCGGCTTCCCCCCTCTGCCTCTTCCACCAACTTTCAGCGCTGCAAAGTAGCCACAGAGGGATCCATTTGCCAGAACAGATGCCCCCCCCCCCCCCCCCCCGCTGCACCGATGCCCCCCCCCCCTTTAGCGCCCCCACCTCTCTTGTGTCTGGGCAACCCTCCCTGCAGCTGCTAGCTGGCTCTCCCTCCCCTCCTGCCAGCCCCCTTCCCTTCCTCAATTAATTCAGACTGCTCAGTACAGATCGCTTCTGTATTCATTAATCACTGACAGATAGTAAATTGTGTTCACTATCTATCAGTTTGTGAATTAAACATAGTAAAGACTGTGTACTGTTTTATTTTACGAATGAAAAGAGTCTGTACAGACTTATCTCATTCACCTACAGTACAGCTCAGGTTGCAGAGAAAGGGACCATCTCCAGAGAAAAACCTCCTTAGATATCAAATAAATGCATTCCTACACTGTAACTGCTGCTTTAAACATTATGGTTCAAACCTGATGAACTCATCAGAACCTTTTAAGTAGCTAAAACAAGCAAGCTAAGAATGTTTTATGACATGACCATTCGGGAACATATGTCAAAGGTTGTCCTGCACCTTGTTTGTTGTCTAGTTATAATGTGACATGCCATACTTGGTCATTTATTCCAAATTAGATATGGTGTCAAGCTGCTAACATCTAACAATGCCGACCAACCATTTTTGTGCCTTCTACACAGTATAAATAACCACTGTAAAATAGCAACTGTTGGCCAATCCTCCCCTGGACTGGCCTATGCACGTGTATGATGTGAATAAACACTTCTTTTGTTCACAGTAAGAGTGTGGTCTGACTGTAATTCCACAAAATTAACAAAAAAAAAAAAAAAAAAGGAAAAAATAGTAAAGCTATGTTCACACTAGTACGGGCATGTGCCCACATTTGCACAGGCACAACAGCACTTTCAACTGAATTGGCTGCTGTGCTGGCATTTCACACAAAAAAAAAAAGGTGCATGCACTTTTTCCAAAATGCAACTGCAGGGAGACTGCATGGTCTTTTTGACCATGCAGTTTTCCCTGCGGTTCCTGCACCCGCGATCACGTTGTGGGCTGAGATGCATGGGGGTGCTTCTGAAGCATGATGGCATCATCATCCTGTTCAGTGTCTATTACAGCTTAAGGGGGGCATTTCGCAGGCGGCAAAAATACAGCTCAGCCGCACATTTTTGCCACAAAGGCCTTGTTCATGTGGGGCATACTACAGTGAGGCCATGTTTAGCTGCACAGGGATGCACAGGTGTTCCGTGCATCCTCATGCAGGTGGTCCCATTGATGTCAATAGGGACACAGCAGTTGCATGAGAATGCACAGGTGTTTCATGCATTCCTGTTTAGACCGCCCCTTCCATATCAATTGGGATGCAGTAGCTGCATCAAGACTGCCACTGCTCCCAACTTGACATCCATGTGGGTGTATGTCCCTAACTCACACTGTCTGCGTTTGGGGCCATGGACCTACACCCGCATGCATGCCAGATCTGTCCTTGCAGCTGCTGCGTCCTAGTTAACTTGAATAGGACTGCTTGCACAGGGATGCACAGAACACAGCCCTCCATGGACTTATGCTTTAGTACACCCCAATAAACTAAGCCTTAGTAGAAATTTAGCAAGACTGTTGTAAGTTATGTTGTGGTTTTGTGTGCAAATACAAATTTTACTGGGGGTTTTTTGTGAAAATAGTGATTTGATAGACATTTGTGCAACTATTGTGGTGCCTAAAAAAATCAATAGCACTTTCTTTTTATTCTACTGGTCATGTGCTTTCAGAAAATATATGGTTTGGTGGAATTTTTTTTACAAACTCTGAAAGCTATAAGTGAAAAATGAAAACCTCCAGATTTTTAGACAAACTTTTGCATAAGATAGATTTTCACCATTTCACAAAAAGGTGAAATTTAAAATTGACAAATATTTGTTAAATATTAACTCAATACAAGTTAAGATTTTATACTCTGTATGAATTTATAAGGAATTTTGTAAAATTTACTGTTTTTGTATCTGCTAATGATTTTTAGTGTATTTTTAGCAAAAATATTGTTTTGATAAACATCTGCGCAAATATTGTGGGGCCTTAGAAATTCAGTAGCACCTTCTTTTTATTCTACTCGTCATATACTTTCAGAAGATATATGGGTTAGGGGATCTTTTACAAACTATGAGAGCTGTACATGACAAATGAATACCTCCAGATTTTCAGAGAGATTTGATTATTTACATTTTTGCATAAGTTCGATTTTCAGCAGTTTGCAAAATGGCACAATTTAAAATTGACAAATATTTGTTAATTATTAATTCAATACAGGTTAAGCTTTTATATTTAGCAGGAATTTTGTAACATTTTCTGTGTTTCAGCAAATGTTTTATAAACATTTGTGCAAATATCGCGGAGCCTTAAAAATCAGTAGCACCTTTATTTTATTCTACTGGTCATGTGCTTTCATAAAATATATGGTCTTTTACAAACGCTGAAAGCTGTAAGGTAAAAATAATAATAAAGCAATGAAAAAATTGCAAAAATGGTTTGGCCAGCTGGGTTTAAAAGTGGAGTACAGGGCTTGGAAGCGAAAGGGTTAAGAATTACAAATCAAATAAATGAAGAAAATACTGTCTGTATACATTCTGAACAGTGAAGACTGACCATTGTCACAAGTACTTCATGGAGTGAGAAAAGCTCTTACCTGGCAGGGTACAATGATTTCTTATCCTTGAAGAGTTCGCTGGCATCTAGTTTTTCATCATATATGAACTTCTTCTGCTCTGTGAATTGGTCTCTGTACTTTTTACACTAGAAGACAAAGCAAGGGGCTTGTCAGCAGAAGAATCTACCAAATAATAAACGTACTCAGCTAAGCTTCAAAGCAAAAGCTATTTTCTGTGAAAGCTAATGTTTTTTTGTGCTCTATTTTTTTCTGAATGCATATATGCCCAGACTATGGACTAATTGTTTTACATATTTATGACTAACAGAAAAAAAACGTTTTAAAGTGATATTATTAAAGGTATTAAAAAAAAAAAAAAAAAAACATGCTATACTTACCTGTTCTATGCAGTAGTGTTGCACAGAACAGTCCTGATCCTCCTTTTCTCAGGTCCTCCACCAGCGCACCTGGCCCCTCCCTAAGGCCAAGTGCCCCCAGAGCAAGCAGCTTACTATGGGGGAACCCAAGCAGTCTTGCTCCTGAGCCACTGCTCTACATGTCCAATCACACAGCTGTGGCTTGGCCCTGCCCCCTCTTTTCTCATTGGCTCACTGGCTGTGATTGACTGCAGCAGAAGCCAATGGCTCCCGCTGTTGTCTCAGTCAATGAGAAGGGAGAGTCCCTGGAGTGCCAAGGTTCCCGTGCAAATCGTGATCATGATGGATCGTGATGGGGCTCAGGTATATATAAGGAGGGCTGGGGGGAGGGAGGCCGCTTCACACAGAAGGGATTTTATGTGATAGCCCCAACACAAAGTGGCACATAATTGTGAAGTGGAAGGAAAATGATAAATGGATTTCAAAATGTTTTACAAATACATATTTGAAAAGTGTGTGGCATGAATTTTTATTCAGCCCCCTTTACTCTGATACCCCTAACTAAAATCTAGTGGAACCAAATACCTTTAGAAGTCACCTAATTATTAAATAGAGTCCACCTGTGTGTAATTTAATCTCAGTATAAATACAGCTGTTCTGTTAAACCCTCAGAGGTTTGTTAGAGAACATGAGTGAAGAAACAGCATCATGAAGGCCAAGGAACACACCAGACAGATCAGGGATAAAGTTGTAGAGAATTATAATGCAGGGTTAGGTTATAAAAAAAAATCCAAATCTTTGAGCTTCTCATTGAGCACTGTTCAATACATCATCTGAAAATGGAAAGAGTATGGCACAACTGCAAACCTACCAAGACATGGCCATCCACCTAAACTGACAGGCCAGGCAAGGAGAGCATTAATCAGAGAAGCAGCCAAGAGGCCCATGGTAACTCTGGAGGAGCTGCAGAAATCCATAGCTCAAGTTAGAGAATCTTTCCACAGGACAACTATTAGTTGTGCACTCTACAAATCTGGCCTTTATGGAAGAGTGGCAAGAAATCCTTTGTTGAAAGAAAGCCATAAGAAGTCTTGCTTGCAGTTTGCGAGAAGCCATGTGGGGGACACAACGAACATGAGGAAGAAGGTGCTCTGGTCAGATGAGACCAAAATTGAACTTTTTAGCCTAAAAGCAAAACGCTATGTGTGGTGGAAAACTAACACTGCACATAATACTGAACACTTCACCTCCACTGTGAAACATGGTGCTGGCAGCATCATGTTGTGGGGATGCTTTTCTTCAGCACGGACAGGGAAGTTGGACAGAGATCATGGAAAGATGGATGGAGCCAAATACAGGGCAATCTTAGAAGAAAACCTGTTAGTCTGAAAGAGACTTGAGACTGGGGCCAAAGGTCACCTTCCGGAAGGACAAGACACTAAACATAGAGCCAGAGCTACAATGGAATAGTTTAGATCAAAGCCCAGTCAAAGTCCAGACCCAATTCAAATTGAGAATCTGTAGCAAGACTTGAAAACTGCTGTTCACAGATGCTCTCCATCCAATCTTACAAAGCTTGAGCTATTTTGCAAAGATGAATGGGTAAAAAATGTCACTCTCTAGATGTGCTAAGCTGGCAAAGACATCCCCAAAAAGACCTGCAGCTGTAATTGTAGTGAAAGGTGGTTCTACAAAGTATTGACTGAGGGGGGTTGAATAAAAAGGCACGCCACACTTTTCACATATTTGTAAAAAAAAATTTGAAAACCATTTATTATTTTTCTTCCGCTTCACAATTACGTGCCATGTTGTATTGGTCTATCACATAAAATCCCAATTAAATACATTTATGTTCTTGGTTGTAACATGACAAAATGTGGAAAATTTCAAGGGGTATTTCAAGGCAGTCTCCCTCCACTCGAGACTGTGGGGTTGCATTGCTCTGTGCACTGACAACTTATTGATGTGAACCATTGTACGTTATGTAGACCTACCTGTCTATGTATAATTGTATTGTATGTACATTGGTTAGCCAACAATTGATCAACAAAAAACTTTTTTTCAAAAACAAAAATCTTATTTAAAAAAAAAAAAGTTTAAAAGTATAAAATACTGCAGTATTATTACATATGACAATAAAATGCTGCCTGCATTACAATCCATGTATATTGCTTGTCAAATACCACATTGTTCTTCTTCGTAGTGGTTACTCTTCTACATGCTACGATGAACAAATAACTGCTTAAGAAAAAAAAAGACCACTAGTTTGTTTTTATGACATTAATTACACACGTTTACATCAGCTGTACAACAAGACAGGAAGTTTATAATCACCATACTGATGGAATTTTCCCATTTCCGCTATAAAAGAATTTCTTTCCCATCCCCCACAGTCTGCTCAACAGAGCACCAATTATTGTAAATGAATGCTGGAAGGTTTCATATGCAAGGAGGCCATGCTAATTCATTGTTTTTATTTATTTTTACGCCCCTACTAAAAAACTCATGTAAATATAAATGGCATAACTAGCGCACACACTAAATAAATAAATAAATAGAGGCATACACACACTCTATATGTATACATATACATGCATAAATACATATTCTCTCACACACGAAATAAATATACGCATACACACGTTATACGAATACATATACATTCATAAATACATACACACACACACACAAAATAGACTGGACAAATCTCGCTTTCCCCACAGTAACCATATTTACGGTTTCTCTTCATCCCACCTTCTTATAGCAGTCAGATATGCAGTAGTAATCACTATATAGCAGGGGCGTCCCTAGGGTTGGTGTCAACCAGTGCGATAACACTTGGTGTCACCCCTCCAATGAACCCTGCAGGATGGATCGGATCTGCGAATTGAGCATAATAGATCCGATCCATTACACTCCCCAATCCGCAGATCTGATCCATCCTGCGGGGATTGTCGGCTTGCTTCAAAACTTACCTTTTCGTGGGAGCGGGTCCAGTGTCACCCTGTACGATAGGTGTCACCCGATGCGGCGCACACCCCCCACACCTGCCTAGGGACTAAGGATGCCACTGCTATACAGCATTTATTGATTACAACAATTCTTTAAATGCTACCCTATTAGGAGCTACATTTAATGGATAAGTTCACCTTTTAAAAAAAAAAATGAATAAGGCTAGGTTCACATCTGTGCGGGTGGTGCCGCTGCGGATCTGCACAAAAATCCGTGCAGCCGCACCACCCGCACAGAGGAATGCAGACCCACGGGTGGGTGCCATTAATTCTAATGGCACACTGCCCGCACTGGAGATCGCAACCGTACTAGGAACCAAGGTTCCCATGCGGGCTGCGTTTTCCAAAGAAGTGCAAGGACTTCTTTGCTGCGTGTGCTGGGGCACGGAAGTCCATTGAAATTAATGGGCTCTCGTGCTTGTGCAAATGCGGTCCACAGGAACGTGGAGATGTGAACCTAGCCTAAATGCATATTTTTTACAGGTAAAGAAAATATGCACTTATTATTATTTTTCTTAGGAATCTGTAAAGAAATGCACCTGCAATTAGCAGATTGCAGATGCAATGTGAGGCTACTGCAGACTGTACAGGTAGTTCTCCATTATAGGCAGGCAGTTACTTCAGTCCAGTTACAATCAATGAACTACCTAGAGTCCTCACCAGCGCCCTTGCAGTTCATTGAGAACTACACGTTTTCAGCCGCAAAGGCTGTCGGTACTTGTAGTCTATCCATTCACAGAACTATGTATTGTAAACGAACAGGCGACCATGTGGGCGAAGCACTCTTTTCAAATTGTGACAGCAGATGCAGGGAGAAGATCCCCGGGGTAACATGTTCCCAAAGGTTAACTTACCTATTAAACTGGGTAAACACTAGTAAATTTTCAATTTTAAGAACATTTGTTTGTTTTTCTAATTGTTATTGGTATGAAATCGATTTGTTTTTGACCACAGTGACAAGAAAATTTGAAGGAGCAGAAAATTTTTCTCTGATGAGTGGTTTTCTAACAGTGTATATGGTTTTCATTCAGGAAATTTCAATCGTTCCAGAACTTAATGTTAAAAGGAAATAAAATTTCGACAATTGTCGTGCCTTGTTTTATACTTGCTTTGCTCTCTGAATCAGGCTCCATGCACACTGGGCATTTTGATAACGCTGGTAACGTTAGCTGTGTAAAATATACATACAATCTTTTCGATAATCCCTCTACCACCCCCGAACAGTGCAACAACATATATCAGCAAATGTCCACATATGAGTCCATGTATAGTGCTTTTCAATATATAGTGTTTTCAAACGTTGGAGACTCCTTCACTTTGCTGTTTTTCAATCCAGGAACCTCAAATAAGGATACCTCAAAAAAATATAAACTTAATATAGTGCATTATCTTTAAACAAAGAAACACTCGTGAAAAAAACACACGTGAGAAGCTACAAGTGATTCCTCCTACACTCCCTACAGTGACAAATCACACACTCCCAAAACCAAAAAAGAGTGATGAAGTGCAACACTCCACAACCAGTGTCACCTTCCAAAAGTACTATATGCCATTACCCTCTCATAAAAAAAAACACACGCATCCAAATAAAATAGTGCCATCTCTCTTGTGATTCAAAATACCATTACCCTCTTCCAATGCAGACCAAGCAAAGATTCCTTCCGGGCAATCCAAAATTTCTCCCTCACCGGAAGCTTCCTATTGCTTCCAATTCACCTTCCCCGTTCCTCAAAGGGGCAGATAGTAAAAAGGCTCAGTGGAGTATATAAAAGGGTATCACAATTTTATTCATATCTTACATAGATTACGCCAGCGTCCATCCTCTCCCACAGTCCATATAACTGAACTCCAGTCTTCAAGATGGCCGTGCCGCTCCTTCCGGTTTGAGATAATACTGTTACGTCCTTACGTCCCTCACGTACGGTGAGGGACGTAAGGACGTGACGAAAACAGTATTATCGTAACAGTATTATCTCAAACGGAAGGAGCGGCACGGCCATCTTGAAGACTGGAGTTCAGTTATATGGACTGTGGGAGAGGATGGACGCTGGCGTAATCTATGTAAGATATGAATAAAATTGCGATACCCTTTTATATACTCCACTGAGCCTTTTTACTATCTGCCCCTTTGAGGAACGGGGAAGGTGAATTGGAAGCAATAGGAAGCTTCCGGTGAGGGAGAAATTTTGGATTGCCCGGAAGGAATCTTTGCTTGGTCTGCATTGGAAGAGGGTAATGGTATTTTGAATCACAAGAGAGATGGCACTATTTTATTTGGATGCGTGTGTGTTTTTTTTTGATGAGAGGGTAATGGCATATAGTACTTTTGGAAGGTGACACTGGTTGTGGAGTGTTGCACTTCATCACTCTTTTTTGGTTTTGGGAGTGTTGATTTGTCACTGTGGGGAGTGTAGGAGGAATCACTTGTAGCTTCTCACGTGTGTTTTTTTCACGAGTGTTTCTTTGTTTAAAGATAATGCACTATATTAAGTTTATATTTTTTTGAGGTATCCTTATTTGAGGTTCCTGGATTGAAAAACAGCAAAGTGAAGGAGTCTCCAACGTTTGAAAACACTATATATTGAAAAGCACTATACATGGACTCATATGTGGACATTTGCTGATATATGTTGTTGCACTGTTCGGGGGTGGTAGAGGGATTATCGAAAAGATTGTATGTATATTTTGTTTGCACTTTCAAGGGTGAGAGTGATACTTTTCGCGGGGATATCTAGAGTTTGTATTATATTTCTGTTAGCTGTGTAAAGTCACATATTTTTTTAGCAATTTTGTATTCGCGTTTAGCTGATTTTTGCCGCATTTGCGTTTTTTTTGCTGAGGTGCCTTTTTCAGTGGTAAAAAAACAAAACAAAAACAGATTACTAGAAGTTACTTGTAACACGTGACAGAGTGATGTCCTTTTTCAAAACGCGGTATAATGACCAAAACATACATGATACTTTGTAGAAAAATATTCTACATTAGCAGAGGTGCCATGCTACAAAAATGTATGCAAAAAGTATAATGCCACAGTGTTGAGGACATTATTTTAAACTGAATTTTTCCATCAAGCCCAATCGATTTCTGTTGAGCAGGCGTGGCCACACAAAGTTCAAAATTCAACCAGTCCCTACTGAACTGGCTGAATTATGATTCATCTATGGACAGATTAACTCTTCACCTTCTCTACTGTTAGAAGACTGCTCTTTTAGGTAAAGGACCTGACTCAAGGATGGAGATTTATTCTCTGCCATCTCCTGATTGACAAATGCGAGACAAGGCCTAGAGGTCTGCAGCGGGTGAGGCTGCTCTCCTCTGCATCGTGAGAGCCCTAAGTGCCCACTAAATAACAGGAATTCAGGGTTGAAGTGGGAATCAGGAAACTTATCCCTGACTGCAGCTACAAAGATGTATTCTGGCTGGTATAAAATTTGAGGAATGTGTCCAGATGCCAGGGCCTAGAATGCTACACATGATTCCTACAACTGAAAAAAAAACACGAGTGAAATGCATTCATAGTGCAGGCGATATTACAGAACATAGTTAAAATGCTGCACAACATATTCTGCTTTTCCTCTCTCATAAGCAGTAAAAAAGCTCAACTGTACTAATTTTTTTAATTTACAGTTTTCACCATGCAAAACGGTTCATTCTGAATGGCTTGATTTCTTCAGAATACTGCTCAAAACAAATTTTGTAATGCCGATTTCAAAGAAGAGAGTGTAAGGGGCACTTTGATTACAGCTGCTTCTTGTGTTTATCTGCATCCATCCTAGCGCAGGTGTATAATATATCTTGACATTTTTTATTACCCCTTTACCCTGAGAAAAAAATCAAGGCTGTATGATGAAGCAATATCTGAGGGCCATACAAGAGGCTCAAAATTTGAATAACCCATAACTGTTCTGTACTAAAATAAAAATGTAACTATAATTCTTCATTTCCATATGTATTAAGTAAAACCAAAGCACATTTTTTTATTGCCGTTAAGGAATGGCATCTGTTATGACTTTGTTTCCTTCATGATATAAAAAATAAAAAAAGCGGAAATAAGCAAAACTCCACAAGCCTCCTGTACTGGCAGTATATGTAAAAAATGCAGTTGTCAGCAGCATCATTTCTCCCTAGTGTATCATTACTGGCTTTACCAGTCAGCCTTCTGGCAACCCCACTGTCCAATGCTGGAAAGAAATGTTTTTTTAATTTCTTTTTAACATGAACAGCCTGGAAACATTACAGTTACAAGATTATGGCTTAAATAAAAATCTTACCCTCCACAGATGGAAAATCCTCTTCATTTCCTTATGCGTGTTATCCAAAAAAAGGTAAGGCCTTGCCGGCCAATTGTTGTCTATGGGTGACACGGAAGGAACTTTTGTCTTCATCTCTAGAAAGTACTTTTGCATCTGTAAAAAGGTTACAGAACCTTATTGTTAACTTATAAATTAAAAATGGCTTAAATTCCCATAATTTTCTTTACTGGGTGTTAAATCTATTTGGTAACAGGCCTCGAGTTGGAACTAAACGTTTACAAAATATTAGTAATATAGTATATATTTGCACTGTTATTACTTAAACCATTGATTATAATAAATCTCCCATGCAGTTTGTCACACTGGTTGCTCCTTTTGTGATGCTGGAACCATCTTGTCCTAATTAGCCAGCATCTATTTTCTGATATAGATGCCAATCCACATTTGTCTATCTGGGGATGCTGGAACTGTGCAAAAATAGTCTTTAAAGGAAGCTTGAAATCCAGCCAAATGTAAAAGTGAGGGTGAATTGTTTTCCTATTTTCAGGAAAAGTGACAATGCTACCTACTTAAGGCATAAATCATATAGTATCACTTCTACTCTAGTGGCTACTAGCGGCGCATACCATATGTGATATATATCAATAAACTCTAACATTCATGTGTGTCATTTTCTGTCTTCATCAATACCCCTGTAACATAAACATAATGTGTAATTAAATTAAAAAAGTGACTGTAAACATAAGCAGTGATGTTCCATAACAGGAAAAAACAATAAGTCCCATGATAGAAGAAAAATTAGAGTCCAGTGTGAAAAAGTTCCACAGTGTAAATCCAATTTAAATAAATTCCAGTGATAGAAAATATACAAACGCGTTGAAAACTCGTACTGTGCCCGTCATGCACCCCCACTCAGGTGTGCACTCACCAGAACATTGCCTTTATTAGCATGATCACAAAGGTATCCACTGTTGATACAAAGGTATATTGGGAGATAAGTGGCAGCAATATAAATATATTAATCCATTTAGTAGCACTGGCGTGATTTGGTGACCTTTGAATGTTTTTCTAGTTGGTCACTTACAAAAAAAAAAATGCTACCTACTTAACCTTATTTTGTGTGCAATATAAAACATTTTCTGAAGTCCCACTTCAACAGTCCATAAAGCCACATATTATTGTGATTTTGACAATGTTCTAATGGCTTTGGTGGCAGCATTTGTTGACACTGGGGAGCTGGACCACTTTGATAGTGTTGATAGGAGCTTAAAGCCAAATTTTAAATGTTCTATGAAAATTGGCATGAGTGAATAGCTCCTCAGTGTTTCATATAGTATAAGTGAATTCCCTTTAGGTAGTTCTCTGAAGGTCAACGGTCACAAAGCATCTTAGATCTACAACATAGCTTTAGCACCTTTTCACTTTTAAACAACAGAAAATATGTGAACCATCAAGTAGGCTAAATGCATGTCTTAAAGTGGAACTATAGTCTATAATTCAAAACATTGCTAGCAGGAAGGATTGTCCCACGTACATGAGCCAATCAGTGCGGCCAAAGATAGCAAACTTGGAAGAAGACCGGACAAAGATGGATGCATCAATGAGATACATCATATCGCTGGAGGGCAAGCAAATCCAGAGGATTTTAGTTTCCACTTTAAAGTTCTGAATACTGATTAGATGCGTGTGTGGTTAGAAGTGTAGTGACATCATTTCATAATAATATGCTGGAAAGTCAATTTGGTTTAGAGATGCCACTAAATCAAGGAAAGGACATGGTGGACTATATTTTTCAAAGTTATTCCAATCTTTTCATAATTTTAACAGTATACAGTTAAGGTTTTCTTTGTGCTGTGGATAGAGTAGGTATTTCTGTCAGTTGTTTTTCTTTAATTTTTGTCCCCATTGGGGGGCCTGTCCATTTATTTCCTGTCCAAGAGATCAAACAGCAAGTGCGGATAATATTAACATATGGGACAAATATTCAGGAAAACTTGAAAGGGGATCTTAGCCTTCCTTACTCTACAATAAATAGGCTTTTATTACCATGTCCCCATTGCTGTATACTTCCTGTCCTGGCTAAATCACGGGATAGAAAGAAATGATCTCCCTAGTGGGACACAGATAAAACCCAGGTAGTGATTCAAACCTTTCTGTATAGTATTCATCTCTTAAAAACAGCTGGAGTTGGGCCTAATGGTTCAGTTTAACCATAGTTCTTTGTGTAAAAGATATTATGTAAAAAATACTTATTAAGTCATATTCTATCTCACAAACATTAGCTGAGCACTAAAAATAATAGCATAAAAGATAACAACTAATTAATGTATAGGCTACTAAAACAAAGATGACATGGTGACAAAAAATTTGCTGGCTGAGGTGGAAAATTGTAATGAAAGAATTACTACCACTGCCACCAAATTTTGTTTCACAATTTACATCTATCAGAACTGTCTATTTACCTTATTCGCTTTCTGTGATGAGTAATTTGCAGAACTAAAACCCTGCTCCAGAGTTGCCATGTACTCTAGTGTGCGTACATGCCTTCCCTATGTTGATATATCACATGGTTAAACTTATTGACTGAGAATATTTCTGGCATTCTGGTTTAATGTATTTACAACTTTGTGGTTAGCACTTCTGCCTGGCAGTACTAGGGTCGTTGGTTCGAATCCCAACCACGGCACCACCTGCCTGGAGTTTGCATGTTCTCCCTGTGCCTGCGTGGGTTTCCTCGGGTACTCCAAAGACATGCTGGTAGGTGAACTGGATCCTGTCTAAGTTGGCCCTAGTATGTGTATGTATGAATGTGAGTTAGGGGCCTTAGATTGTACACTCCTTGAGGGTTAGGGACTGATGTGAATGTACAATATATATGTAAAGCGCTGCATAAATTGACAGCGCTATATAAGGACCTGAAATAAATAAATAAAATATACGCTGTACTGTAATTTTCTTTCATATTCCTTCTGTACTGAAATGTATTGTAATTGTACTGTCTCCCTTATATTGTAAAGTGCTGCGCAAACTGTTGGCACCATATAAATCATGTCTTATAATAATAATAATATAATCTTGAAAATAAAGAATGCATAGAAAATCTGTCTGAGGTTCTTAGGCTCTTAGAGCATGGGGTCACAAAGTCAACAAACATTACAATTAATGAATTTCCGAGTATAAGATTTAACCAGTAGCACCAGTCCTCCTGTACGGGGCCCAGGCAACTGGGTGAATCAGATGTGGGCAGGGAGACTATTCAAATTGGCACTGTATTTATGTATATTAATATTATGTTTTGACTGATATTGGTTTAATTTGGGAGCATTGGTGTTCTTGATTGTTGTACGATTTGTACATTACCTCAATAATATAGCACAGGCTTAAAGCATTGGTCTAAGCACGCATGATATATAGGAATGTCATATTTCCCCCCTGCCACAGGGATACACGGAGGGGTACACTTTAAGTTTTTATGTTTATATGTTATATAGAGGTCACTTTGATTTGTAGGCCACCATTACGAACAGAGTGTGGCACATTTAATCACTAGTGGCAGCACAGCATTTATTTATACTTGTATTCACACATTTGTTTGCATTTACACTTGTGGTATTGCTAGCAGCAGCCAGTTTATATATGAAATATAGTCCACTGTGCAGGCTCCATTTTATACTATGACAATGTGCTTAACTACTTGTCTACCAAGGTATGTTTGTATACAACATGGTAGACAAGTGGTTAAATCAAGCCCACAGCTACTGCTGTGAGCTTGGTGCTGGTTTTAAGAGCCACCTAAGGGATTAGGACAGCTCTAGATCACTTTTATTGGGATCTAAAAGTACGCCCCTGCCCTCCTCCTCACCGGCGGTGACAGCTGGCTCTCCTTTTCCTCCAGGGGGCCTGCAGGAAACTGCTTACCCAGTGAGAGAAGAAGGAATCAGGGTACATCTGTTCCCTGATCCCTCCTGCAACGAATAACCCCTGAGGTGACGTGTATTACTTGAAACGTTAGGTATCTATTTACTTGACGCAACCCAATCTTAAAAATGGGTATAATAATGTGTTTGTTTGCACTAAACCTCATTTCAGTGTATTTTTTCCTAAAAATATGTGTTTGATAAATAGTTGCGCAAATATTGTGCAACATAAGGAAAATGCAACTACCACCATCTGGTCTCTACATTCAGAAAATATTTACTTTTCAGAAGGGTGGGGTACAGTAACTTCTAGCAAAATAAAAAAAAATGCAGATTTTAACCAGTTCCTCTCCGCCCTACAGCAGTTTTACTGCTACAACGCTGACTCCCTGCGCAAAAATCACACATATACACACATATATATATATATATATATATATATATATATATATACATACACACACACACACACACACATATATATACACCCACACACATGATCCTCGCCCCCGCCATGTTCACGGGCAGGGGGCATGCGCCCACCAGCCCTTTGATTCGGTACAGCACTGCTCACTCAGCAGATTTGGGCCAATGACCTGCTGATCGGCTGTACCAAATCAGAGGTCTTCCTGTACCTGTGTTTACATTACACAGGCACAGGAAATGATGCAATCTTCTCTCCCTGGAGCACATTCCATTCCAGAGGAAAAAAAAAAACAGATCCACGTGAGTAAAAACAGCACACTTCACTATGAAAGCACAGCTTGGTCACATTTAACCCCGATCACCCCCCCCCCCCCCCTCCCGTTAACCCTTTCACTGCCCTATCACCAGAGTGTCAATATTACAGTGTACAGATTTTTCTTACGGATCACTGTATTAGTGTCACAGGAAACTTCAGATAGTGTTAGTGTCAGATAGCATCTCCCCTACTACATCAGTCATCACATTTAACCCTTTGATTACCAGGAACACGCTCGCATACACAATAAACATCCATTACTGTCTGAAAGGATCAATATCTTCGATCAGATCTATACCAGTGTTCACAATAGTATAGTGTCCCCAAAAACGCAGCATTAGAAGGATCAGAATCGACACCTGCGTTTAGCACCTGCGCTTAACCTCCCCTTCACCCCCCAGCAAGTGCAGTGACCGTAGATTACTATCACTTGATACATTGCACACAAAACTGCAAGGTAAGCAACATCAGGCCTGATCTCTGCTAGCACTAGC